ATCCTCTCGACCATAAGTGTTTTCACCAAGTTGATTAATGTGTAGCCCACAGTATTATTTCGGCCATCAAACCTCCTAATGAATAAAAAATTTTATTTTTTAAATAAATACATATAAATATTTAAGCATTTTAAAATTTTAATTTTTATTGTTATTAAATTTATTTTTTAATGAATATATATGATAATGAGATTTTTGAAAATTTTTTATATTTTATTTATTAAATAATGAGATTTTGGAAAATTTATATTTTATTTATTAAATATTTAATTACTTTTAGGGAAATATATATAAAAAAAGAAAGAAAATATTTTTTCTTTATGTTTATATGATATGATCGGATATTTTTTTTTTAAAAAAATTCAAAAATAGAATATATATAATATTTTATTTAGGAGAGAGATAAAAGAAAAGTATATTATTTTTTATTAATATTTTTATTTTTATGTTTATAAGATTTTGATTGGATAAATTTTTTAAAAAAAAGTAAATTTTCAAAGAAATTTACATAATAAACCCTAGACAGCTAAACAGTGGTTAAAAATTTTTAATTTTAAAAAATAATATTTTTAGTGACATATTTAAATATCTTATATATTGAAATTTTTTTTTTTTTTTTTGTTAAGTGATTACAATTTATTGTTTGTATAGCCAGCAATATTATTTCAGGGCATCAAGCCTCCTAATAATCGAAAAAAATAATTTTTTAAAATAAAGTTCATATATATAATTAAAGCAATTTTAAAATTTTAAATTTATATTTACTAAACATTTATTTTTTAATGAATATATATTGATAATGAGACAATTTCAAAAATTTTTATATTTTCATTTCATTAAATATTTAATTCTTCTAAATATAATATTTCTTTTATTAATATTCTTTTTTCTTTATTGTTTGTATGATATTGATGATTATATTTTTAAAAATAAATTTTCAAATAGAATATATATAATATAATATTTTATTAGGAGAGAGATAAAAGAAGAAAAAGTTATATACTTTTGATTTAATTATTTTTTTCTTATGTTTGTCCATATATTGATTGGATATATTTTTTAAAAAAGTAAATTTTCAAATAGAATTTACTAATAAACTTATGATGGTAAACAATTGAAATTTTAATTTCTTTAAAAATATATATAATATTTATGATATATTTATATATATATACATTGAAAATATTTTTCTATTAGGTTGAGTTTTGAAAAGTTTTTATTCATTAATAATAATAATAATTTTTTATTTTCTTTTTCGTTATTGAATAATTTGTAACTACTATCATTTTAATTTAGTAAGAGATTTATATCTCCTTTGTAATAAATAGATGGCCTATTGATGGTTAAAAATTTTTAATTTTCTTAATATTTTTTTCTCTTATATCCTAAATCTGTTTGACTTAAAAGTATGTGCATATATTTCTTTGTCTGATACACTGAGTAAATAATACTGTCATTGTGGTTAAAGTGATTTCCATTATCAATTCAAATAATTTTCTAATTTCTTTTATTTGACCTAGTAGTAAAAATAATTTATTATTATTCTTCACTATAGTTGTATATAGATATTGATTTAGGGCTGAGAGCAGGGGGTTGGAGATTGAGTGATGACTTGTGACTTGATTTTCTTTTTGAACACCTATTACGGTTTTAAAAATCTGCATTTATAAATTATGGACTAAATGATTAGGTCTAAGGATTGAGTTGAACTTTATTCTAAGATCACTTTATTATGTAAAAATAGAATTAAGTACGTAATAAGTAACATTGCAAGTAATTTGTACGGCAAAATATAATACAAATTAACCACTTATATTTATTTTAATATAAACAAAATTTATGATATATATATAATGAGTATAGTCAATATGCAACTCGTGTCATATAAAAGACTAATCTATATAAATACTTAAAGATTTTTATGTCCATATAATAATTTAAGATATTATGAAATATATATACTTAAGGTTATTTACCCTTCTAATAAATGTGCTTTTCAAAAATTAAACTTATTTTCATTATTGCGAGAAATTGAGGTTGCTTAACATGTTTTCGCGTAGGTATTGATTAAAAGATTTTAATGATCAAATAATAAGCTAAATAATGATACATTAGTTTTACTCTTTAAGAATTATAAGGTCAAACATATAAAAACTACATTCATTTAAATGATTTACCTATCTCATTGCCAAACATTTTAAATATTTAGAAATCAATTTTAGATGTGATTTCTTAATTATTCAGTTTAATAAATTATTATTTTATTATTCAATATTCATTTTCGGACAAAGCAAACAACTCATAGGCTCTATTTTTTTTCCGTAAAATAACTTGCAGAAAAATAATTTTCATAATTTTTCGTTGTTTGCAGGAAAAATAAGACAAGGAAAAATATTTTTCTGGTCAAAGCAAAAATAAGTCATTTTCGTAAATTATTTTTCAAACTTTGACCAATTTATTATAAAATTATAAATCTATATTTTTTAATTTATTAATTATTGGTAACCATTACCATCATTCACTATTCACCATCAGTCACCACTATCAGCCACCAGCGACTACCATCACCGGTTGTCAACGAATTTTATAATTTACTTTTTCTTGCATTATTGTCATATTCAATAATAAAATTTTCAAAATATGAAATTTATATTATTATTATTATTATTATGGTTTTATGAGTTAAAAATTTTAATATTTTTAACTAATTAATATTTTTAACTAATTTTTAATAATACAATCAAATAATAGAAAATAAGTCATTTAAAAAATATTTTCTAAAGGTAAATTAATTTTGAAAAGAAACGGAGTCTTAAATTAAAAAATTAAAGACATTTTAATAATATTTTTTTTAAAATATAAAAATAAACTACTGAACTATTTGGCATTATTATTTATTATCCAGTTGTCTGACTTTAACTTGAGGTTGATGTCTTATTTTGTGGGACACGGAGATAATGCTCATTGCCATCATCGATGACCTCAGCATTTGGCTTGGCGTCTTTGCGGTCTTCTTTCAAAAGGCGTGGGTCGTCTTTACGACGCATCCTTTGAACATCCAGATCATTCTAATTTCTAAATGTGATAAGACTTGAGGAAAGTTGTTCTATAAATAACTTACCACAATTTTTTTTTTTTTTTAGAAAAACTTGCCACAAAATTTAAAAAATATATATAGAAAAATAAATTTTGACCTTTTCATTTAAAAAAATTGTTAGCTTTATTTTGTTAAGGAAATTATTCTGTAGTAATATATATTATTTAGAGGCTCCGTTTATTTACGTTAATAAAAAATAATTTACTTGTGAAATTATTATTATTTTAACAACTTATGATTAATTTTTTCATTGTAATATTAAAATTATAATTTATAAGAATATAAAATATTTTTAAAGAATTTATTATTAAATATGAGAAAAAGATATTTAAAAATGATAAATTATGTTAGTTGCTCAATATTTATGATTAATGGCGGTTAAAGATACAAATCATCGGTCGTGATTAATAATGATTGCTAACAAGGATTACTGGTTATTAATAAATTAACATGTATGTATATTTATAAGTTTATAATAAATTTATCGTATGTTCATAAAATTTTTTTTAAATTAAAAAGTTAATTTTTTTCAAAATGATTTAATTTTATTTTGATTAGAAAAAATATTTTTATTTTGACTGATTTTCTTGAAATTCAAAATAAAATAATAGTTGATTGTGATTTAAAAAATTTTCATTCTTCATTATTATTTTGTTTATTTTTTAAATAAAAAAAATTTATACTATTATTTACTCTAACAATTAATTTTCTAGGCGCATTAACAAAATAAAATTTTACCAGTTATCAAACATAAATTGGTCAGACTGAATTCAGTCGTAATAAGTGTGAATTATGTTTAAAAATTAGAAAGTAAACAAAAAAATGTGGAAGGAAAAATCATTGACGTAATGTGTACAGAATATATATTTTTATATTTTTAAAAATTGGCATTGACCTAATAAAATAGAACAACTAACTCTCAAGAATAAATCTGGTAAGTTATAAGTTGACAACGTCAATAATTAGTGCTTTCTCATGCAAATTAACTAAGATTCTTTTCATATTTAGCAGAATTCACACGTATTACGTATTTTTAATGATTACCTTAAATAATATATATCTAAACATAATTATTTGATTTTCAATCAAATATCATAATTACTCGATATGGGATTAAGATGTATGTATAAGAATTAGTATGGAAAAAAATAGGATGAATCTCCATATCTGTAAACTATCCATGAATAAGTAAATGAACCTGGTTAAGGAAGCCATCTGTGTTCATTTCTCTAACTCTATCCATCCATCGGTACTGTTTAATTTTTCTAACACTATGTTTGGATTTGTGGATAACAGGAGAAGAAAGAAAATTGAGGAGGAAAATACTACTAATTTTCTTTTTTTCATTTGTTTGGGAATAAAGAAAGTACAGTAGTAAGGAAAATTTAGAGAAAAAATGAATTATGAAATCCACATATCATTTTCTGTTCAACATGTAAGAAAAATTAGGAGGAAATGATTAAAATTATAATTTTACCCGTATTTCTTATACTTTATTGGAAAAAATAAAGGCTAAACTCACAATTTTACTATTCATAAAATTATTTTTTCTGTTTATATTCCTTTCAAATATCCAAGCATTAAGGGAAGAAATTCTTCCATATTTTCCCTCATTATTTTCCTTTCATATTTTCTTTCCTCTCAGAATTGTTATCCAAACAGACCTTATAAAAGAATTGAAAAAGAAAATTTTAAAAAAAGAACTGCAATTTATTTTTAGTACAAGAGGGAGTTGATTGGGCGATAAAAATCAATGACGACGATCCGTTAGGCGATCAAATGTCGTGGCGAAAAATCAATCAGCAATGATGGACGGTGCATAGCCCGCCACGTGTATAGTCCAATCTACTGTTACTAAAAATCCTCGCGTCCAGAAGGTTAGCCAATAGGCCGCAATTGGCCTATAAATATTTGACCAATCACATTTCTTAAAAAATCCGTTTCTCCTTTTACAAGGACTTTGTCTCTTTCACTGAAAGCAATTCAGAAAACAGAGAATCAATTAATCTATGGCGGAGAAGAGTTTCAAATACGTGATCGTCGGTGGTGGTGTCGCCGCCGTGAGTTTCTTAACTGATGATTTCTCTTCTCTGTTTGTTTGTTGAAAATTTTTGCTTAACGATCGATTTGATTTGATGATATTCGTTTTGTTGTTGAATGCTTGCCCGATTTTTGGCTTTTTTTTTTATTTTTTAAATTTTGGCCGAATTGATTTGAGTTGAATAGGAGCTTCTTTTTTTAGTTTTTTTTTTTTTTTCATAGATCTGAACCATAGCTGCTAGGCTAGTTTCGGTCATATGATTCCTGCTGTTCGCTGATTGTCCATGTGAATCTTTGTTTATTTCTGGATTAATGTTGAAACCGTACAAATGCTGAAATCTGGTGCGTTTTGAGCTTAAATTACTTGTTAGGTAGGCTTAAATCATCAATTGTAGCTCATCTGATCAAGTGTTAATGAGTTGAACTAGAGCTGTTGAGAAACTGGAGGGGAAGAGAGAACGAAATTGGATTCTCTTTAAGTTTTTGTTGCCTATGCGCCTTGACGATTGAACCAAAGATTACAAAATAAGTAAGGAATTTTTTGGGTTCGTCGTGTGGTGGGGTAATTAGAATGTTTTATCCTCGTGAAATAAAAAATTTGATTTGTTGTGTATATTTCTTCTCTAGATCCTATTTATGTAAACATAGGCGGAACATTTGCATGGGAGGTTTCCTTATTTGCTGTAAGATGCTCTGGTGAATTGGATAATTGCATTGTGAAATGAGGTCTTCATTGGTGTAATTACTATAGTCCTCATGTTTTAATCAAATATATTAGTAAGGACCTCAATTTTCAAAATTACTGAATTTAATCCTTGCGTTATAATTCTATTATACTATGAGGTCCAATGGTTAATTTTTTTGTTAATTGGTTACCCTCAAGGAGAGTTACTATGTAGATACTAAATAGCTTGAAATTATAAAAAATGGTTAGAACCTTATAGTTTAATGAAATTATAATACAAGGACAAAATAGTATAATTTTAAAAATTAAGGTCCTTTAATATGTTTGACAAAAACCTAGGTACCACACAGTAATTACCCGTCTTAATTGAGGCAAACTCATCTAAACTAGTGATGCATGTGCTTATGCGCTTATGGAACATGCTCTGTTGATTCTTCATTGGGTAAAAGGAACTGTTTTCTTAACCTAAGGTAAATAAGATTTTCCCATTCGCTTTATTGCATTCGTTGGGGTGCATTGTGAAATGACGTCTTTATTTAGTCAAACTCATCTAAATGTGATGGATGCATGTCCTTATGTGCTGATGGGATATGCTCTGTTGATTCTTCATTGGATAAAAGGAACTGTTTTCTTAACCTAACACAACAAGATTTTGCCATTTCACTTTATTACATTCATTGGAGTGCATTGAGAAATGAGGTCTTTATTTAGTGAAACTCATTGAAATTTGATCCAGGTGCTTATGTGTTACTACCTGTCCAATTTGGTAATAAATGAAAATATATAGGAACAGATGATGAATGGCTGTTGCTATTATTGTAGGTACTAATTCTTTTTTTATTCCATTTTTATTTTCTCGTTGCCTTCTTTAAAGCTTTCAATGTTGTCGTGGTGATGGAGCACGTTTTGTTTAATTCGTCGGAGATACATTGGTGATAGTAGTTGTGGGGCATGACTTTTTTGTTATTTTTTCTCTTTCTGAAAGTTAATCCTTTTGAAACTGCAGGGATATGCAGCTAGGGAGTTTGGAAAGCAGGGGGTTCAGCCAGGTGAATTGGCAATCATCTCCAAGGAGGCGGTATGCTTCTACTACGCTCAATTTGATAGTCAATCAAATACTGAATTCATGGGACAACTTTTGATTGTTTAGTTATTACCATAGGAATGAGATTATTGATTGCCCCCTGTTAATGTTTTGCCAATTATGGTAACAAAAATTGGTCTAGAATTGTGTATGGTCCTACTTTTCAACTTTATACAGATAATGACTATACAAGTCTTAACAAACGGTATATTAGTTGATAAATTAATTATGTAACATACGAAGTTCATTAAATGGGAATAAACAACTGAATAATATATCTGTTAGTTGTAAAATATCCAAATTTGTGATTTGCATAAGTGAGTTGTTAAATAGATTACATAGGTTAAGTTTATGGAGTTGTTTCTTATTCATGATCCCTCTATGTTGTATTTGGTTATCATCCAATGGAAATATTTATGAAATCTCGGAAATGAGAAAATCGTTAATTAGAAATACGCTTATGTTTAGGTCTTCTCATCTTAGCACCAGTGCCGCGAGATGCTGTTTTTTCTATTTTGTTTATTAATTCATCCACCGAACTTTTATTTTTGTCACTCTTGCAGGTAGCTCCTTATGAACGTCCCGCACTTAGCAAGGCATATCTTTTCCCTGAGGGTAAATTATGTTGCCTGTTTTACATATATCGTGGCCACTGAATTTTCACCATTTTCCACATTATATAGCTTTTTCATCAAGAGAGCTCTCTTGCAGGAACTGCAAGGCTTCCAGGATTCCATGTCTGTGTTGGGAGTGGAGGGGAGAGGCTGCTTCCCGAGTGGTACAAGGAGAAAGGTGATACACTTTCTTAGTCATCTTGTATAATGTATGTGTATGAGAACTTTTGGGCCAATAGACAGAATAGTGCTGAAATGACGAATCCAATTTGTTATCACTTGTCACTCACTTTTATTTGTTTACTTAATGTTCATTTTCGGTAAGCTTCTAGGCAGAGAATGGCAAAGGTATCATTGCTCTCTCTGAATTCTGTACTTGCAGGAATAGAGTTGATCCTTGGCACAGAAATAGTTAAAGCAGATCTTGCTGCCAAGACTCTCACAAGTGCAGCTGGAGAAATCTTCAAGTATAATATTTTGATTGTCGCAACTGGCTCTACTGTAAGTCCTACATCCAATGGGTTTTGCAAGCAAGAATTTCCGGACTTCTTTATATGCTTCCAATGAAAATTTATTCACATTTCTGGTCTGATGTAGGTTATAAGATTGTCAGATTTTGGTGTCAAAGGTGCTGATGCCAAAAATATCTTCTACTTGAGAGAAATTGACGATGCTGATAAGCTTGTAGAAGCAATTAGAGCGAAGCAAAATGGGAAGGCTGTGGTTGTTGGAGGCGGATACATTGGTCTTGAACTTAGTGCGGCACTGAGAATTAACAATCTTGATGTTACCATGGTTTATCCTGAACCTTGGTGCAGTAAGTGGATTGTTCTACTACTCTCTACTTGTTAAAATAGCATTGAGATTAACATGCTGTCTCTTTTTCGTTTGTCTTCATTTAACCCTTAGATTACTAACATAATAATTTCTATGCAGTGCCTCGCCTTTTTACTGCGGGCATAGCTGCTTTCTATGAGGGGTACTATGCTGATAAGGGAATCAAGATTATCAAGGGAACAGTTGCTGTTGGTTTTACCTCTGATTCGAATGGAGAGGCAAGTAGCGACCATCTGATTAAAAGTGATTATTTTAGAGTGGATAAGTTTTTGGTGGGACTGAAAGTAGGGTGAATTGTTTCTTTATGTTGCTTCTTTCAGGTAAAGGAAGTGCAACTTAAGGATGGTAGGGTGTTAGAAGCTGATATTGTTATTGTTGGTGTTGGTGGAAGGCCACTTACAACATTATTCAAAGGACAGGTTGAAGAGGATAAAGGTGGAATAAAGGTTAGTGCAACTTGTGATAATTCTATATTAAGTTCTTGGACTTACGTACTGATTGGTATTTAAATATTCCGAAAAAATTTTTTTCCTACCCCACGGGACTGTGTGGAAATTCTTGGATGCTTTGATTCTTCAGCAAGTGATAGACATTCGTGAATTCATAATTTTTGAGTTTGTTTGGCAAAATTAATTGTTTTGCTATCTATTAACTGCGTTTAAATATTATTTGAGTAACTTTTCGCTAAAAGTTAAACGTTATGTGAGTTAACTTTTTATAAAATGTTAACTTTTAAAAATAGTTATTTAAAAAACTGTTGCCGAACATGACCTTTGTATTAAACAACTTCCTTTATTGCAGACTGATGCATTTTTTAAAACAAGTGTTCCGGATGTGTATGCTGTTGGTGACGTAGCTACTTTTCCTTTGAAATTGTACAATGAGTTGAGAAGAGTAGAACACGTTGACCATGCCCGAAAATCAGCAGAGCAAGCTGTGAAGGTATCTTTTCTGCTTCTGCATTTTTCATTTGATGATTCTACTGGAGGTATCAACCTGAAAGGGTTTCTATGTTTTTCCCCCTTTAGAAAAGGAGAAAAATACCTTTCTGGATTATCAAAATAAGCTATTTTTACTCGTTCTTGTTTCTTTAGGCCATTAAAGCAAGCGAGGAGGGGAAAACAATTGATGAGTATGATTACCTTCCATACTTCTACTCTCGTTCGTTTAGTCTGTCCTGGCAATTCTACGGTGACAATGTTGGTGAGACTGTGCTCTTTGGAGACAGTGATCCAAAATCACCAAATCCTAAGTTTGGATCATACTGGATTAAAGATGGAAAGGTCATTGGAGCTTTTCTAGAAGGTGGAAGTCCTGATGAAAACCAGGCTATTGCTAAAGTCGCAAAACTCCAACCAGCTGTTGATAATTTGGATCAGCTGACAAAAGAAGGTCTTGCCTTTGCCTCTAAGATTTGATTTTGATTGTTTCCTTATCAAATATGGCACTCTCGTGGCTTTTTCGTTTTAGCACTTTCAGATTGTTGCATAAAATCTTTTAACTCTTATCATTTTCTTTGGTTATGATGTACACGATTTTGGTTGGGATGATTATTGTCTTGTTAATTAAATTTATATAAAATTTAGTTAAAGAGTATAATTATTTAATATATTATTACATTTATGATTAATTATTTTAAGGTTATTTTCTATTTTAATATGTTATATAGAAAATATTAATTTAAATATTTAACTTTAATAATATTTAAAAGTTACGTGGTGTTTTTAAGTAATTATAAATAAGATGATCAAATGGAAATATTAATTTTGAAAAAAAAAAAAGCAAAATTTTAATTTTGATTTAATTAATATTAGTTTAGTGAGCGAATTTGTAAGCCAGCTCGTAAGTTAGGCTCCTTTATAAGCTTGTTTACATTCCTACTTGGGGGCCTAGCCTAGCTGTTGAGCTGATGAAATAAATGTCACCTAATTATAGGTCTCATAATGCTTTCCTTTCAGTGAGGTTAGAATGGGTCAGTTACTGAGAAGGTACTACGGTCTTTCGTTTAATCGTTTTTGGTGCAGCAAGGGGAGTGCTAATTCATAAATATCATGATATATCATACAATGCAAAATAGCATATCCAAGGCAAGCTATTTCTGTCAACTGCAAATTGAAATGAATTATTAATTACTCTTCAATGGCATAGAACTCAATAGATTCATGGAACGAAATTCACTTTCACCATTACACAACCCTAGTATCAAGGTCGTCAAAAATTTCACCAGTCAAAATATATAACTGCAGAACTACATCAATCTGACAAACAATTCAATGCCTAGTTTAAGAAAAAGCTCTAAATCAAAACAAAAGAGATATGTTTGATGATATAACCGGACAAACTCTTTAGTCGAAGAGACTGAAACCCATATCCTGCAAAACGAAAAATAAAAATATAAAAGAAAAGACCAATTAGACAATGAAGAGAAGCTGATGGCATTTAACATTATAAGCGTTCATTTCAATCATCTATCTATTTTCTTGATACGTCCATTCATCGTGTAAGCCTTTTGATCTAAGATGGTTCTTGTTTGTGTAGAATATATCATTCTAATTATGCATAAGATAAAAATGTTGGAAAAGCTAATCTAAATTATGATGTGAAAAGTCCAATGCAAGAAATCAACCTTTTGGTCATCGTTTACTCTTGTATGACTATGCATATATTAGAGTGAAATTAGAAACAAGTAATTCTAAAACCAGAATTCAGGCGTGAAGACTCACATCATCTGACTCCTCTTTCTCCTCCACCTTTTCCTCTTTTTTTGCCTCAGCTGCAGCAGCTGGAGCAGAGACAGCACCACCAGCTGGAGCAGCAGCTGCAACAGCAACGCCACCACCAGAAGGCACTGATGCCAACTTCTCCCGTCCAGCAGCAATAAGCTCAGTTATATCCTTACCCTCAATTTCTGAAAGAAGAAATCTGACCTTATCGTCATCAACATCAGCTCCAACTGCACATAACATATAACAATTTAACATATTAAAAATAATTAACTAACACTTTGCTTTCCATGAAAGAAAATGTATAGGACACAATACACAAAATTACAAAAACATCAACACTGGGATCATCTACAAGGCTGAGATATTGAGAATTTGAACTGCCATACAAATTGCTTTGGCATAAGCAATATTATTCAAAAATTAAGCATAAATAGCTTAGGTTCTTGTCATTTCTCAAGAATGCAATTTAAACTGGAATATTCTAAAATTAGCACTCGAAAAAAAAAGGGAAAATAGAACAGGCTCAAGACCATTCACCAAATACAGACACAAGTGGAATTCCTAAAAATAACAAAACAGAAGCCATGTATGATCTATTAATCACTACCCACTTCACTATAAAGCACAAACCAACTAAAAAAAACCTAAAAGAGGGAAATTTTAAAGGAGCACAAACACATTACATTAATGAACACATATAAGTCGATTTCTGCGCAGTAAAAGATAAAGTAATAAAATTGCATAAAGAGAAATAAGTACCGCAGCTGAGGATATCTTTGATATCATCAGCGGAGGGGGCGGCGTTGCCTCCTAACACGGCCAGCAAATATGCAGCAACAACCTTCATCTCGGTCTGTCTATAACCAAACAAAATTCAATAAAATTTAAATGTCAATCAAATTAAAAGAAACTATAAATAGAAATGAAGAGGCAGAGCAATTACAGGAGGCGCTCTGAATCTGCAGCGGAGAGAAGAGAAGTGTAAAGTGAATCGCTAATTTTGCACTGCAACTCGAATAAGGTGACGATGCAGAGAATATATGCAGTATGCAGCTAGGGTTTTAGTTGGACCGGGTAGACGTACAAAACGGGTTTGGATCGGTTAGAGAGCAAAGTCAAGTTACCCGCTTTAAAACGATGAGTTTTATGTGAATATTCAATTGGTTCGATTAGTTTTAAGTCGATTGTTAAACTGAACAGAATAAAATAAATGAATAAATCAGAAACTAAAAAAAAAAAAAAACGAGTTTTCAATAACTAAATTGAACTGAAATAGAGGAGAAACCAAATCATTATATTATATTCATTTTTATATATGAAACAATGACAATTATCTAATTTCTGCAGAAATAAATTAAAACAAGTGTGATCCTAGAGCTCAACCCGCATCTTACTTGGTTATTCTCAAAACCATAAGGCCTACAAATTATACAATTCATACCAAAACCATTTGCAAAGACAAAATTTTTCATGAAAATCACTTTCCATTTCAATATTCTTCTTAACCTACATTAGACACAATTGTCCTTCATTAGAGGCAAATGGAAAATGGGCTCTATCAGATTTACCAAAGGGTAAGAAACCCATGACTCAAAATGGGTATATAGAGTGAAGTATAGACTTGATGGTAGTGTTGACAGGTACAAAGCACGATTAGTCTTAGATTTAGAGTTTTAGGTTTGAAGAAGAGGTTTCAATTCTCATTGTAATTTTTTCTGTGTATAACTCCTGTCTTATAGACAATTTAATATAACTCTAGGGATCCTTTATCGTCTAATTTAGGAAATGATTGATCCCACCATTCAGGTGGTCAATCCTTTCCTTTTACTATACAAGGATTGATTTTAGAGATCATATATCGTCTAATTTAGAAAATGATTGATCCTACCATTAAGGTGGTCAATCCTTTCCTTGTATAATTTATTCTTCTAACACTCCCCCTCAAGTTGGGTCGTGGGATCTTCAACACCCAATTTGCACAACGTTTCATGGAAGACTCGCCCTGTCACTGCCTTGGTTAGAATATCTGCCAACTGATCCTCATATCGAACATATGGTAGACTGATGATCCGTCCTTCTAATTTCTCTATAATGAAGTGCCGATCCACTTCAATATGCTTCGTCCTGTCATGTGCACTGGATTTTTTGAGATGCTAATTGCAGCTTGGTTATCACACCTAAGCTCACGCGTACTTTGAGGTGGAAATCCAATCTCAGTTAGTTGCTTCTAAATCCATAATAGCTCCGCTAATTCCCGAGCTACTCCTCTAAATTCTGCTTCTGCACTAGACAGGGCTACAACTTTCTGCTTCTTGCTTTTCCAAGTTACAAGGTTCCCACCAACAAAAGAAAAATATCCCGATGTCGATCTCCTGTCTACTGGATTCGCGGCCCAATCAGCATCCGTATACCCAAGTATCTCTAAGTGTCCAATTTTCCTGAACATGATTCCTTTCCCTGGTGACCCTTTCAAGTATCCTACAATTCTCAAGGCAGCATCCATATGTTTCACCCGTGGCTTGTGCATGAACTGGCTCACTACTCTAATAGCATATGCTATGTCAAGTCTAGTGTGTGAGAGATAAATGAGCTTCCCTACTAGTCTTTGGTAACTCTCAAGATCTGTCATGTCTGCTTCCTCTTCTATTTTTGGACCATGATTCACCACGATAGGGGTCTCAGCTGGCTTACAGTCAATCAATCCAGTCTCAGTTAGGAGATCAAGGATAAATTTTCGCTGAGAAATGAAAATCCCCTAATTTGATCTTAGTACCTCGATTCCCAAAAAATACTTCAGTCCCCCCAAATCTTTCATTTCAAATTCTTTAAACAAGTTTCCCCGGAGATGTGCAATTTCTTCTGTATCATTGCCTGCAGCGATCATGTCATTGACATAGATAATTAGGCATGTAATCTGCTCTCCTCTTCTCTTTAAAAACAAAGTGTGATCCGAGTTGCTCTGTCGATACCCGTAGCGATTCATCGCAACAGTAAATCTTCCAAACCATGCTCTAGGTGACTGTTTTAGCCCGTAGAACACCTTCTTCAGTCGACATACTTCTCCCTATTGAAATCCCTTAGTAAACTCTGGTAGTGCTTCCATATATACTTCTTCCTTGAGGTCACCATGAAGAAAGGCATTTTTCACGTCAAACTGATGAAGTGGCCAATCCAGATTTGCTGCCACTGAGAACAATATTCGGATCGTAAATTTTTGCTCTTGGACTGAATGTTTCTGAGTAATCCACTCCATATGTCTGAGTGTATCCATCTGCCACAAGCCGAGCTTTATATCTTTCTATGGTTCCGTCTGCACCCAACTGTCTTCTTTCTAGTAGGTAGTTTGCACTTTTGCTAGGTTCCATTTTTTTTCAAGAGCCTCCATTTCAACTTCCATAGCCTGTATCCATTCCTTCTTTTGTTGAGCCTCCTGTACTGTTCTAGGAACAGCTTCAGTGTATATTATTGTTGTGAACACTTTCGTTACTTCGGACAAACTCCCCCTGCCAAGGTTAGCGACTGGATATCTGGACATTCTGGGTTCATGTTCTGGTGAGTATCTCTTCAGAGGTATACCCCGGGTGCTTCTATGAGGACGAATATATCTCCATGTAGTCTCAACTACTTCTGTCTCAGGAGCTGCATGTTCATGTTCAGAGTAATGTGAAGCAGAAGTAAAATCATTATGAACTTGGGTACTTACCTCCTGGACATCCAACTGTGGAGTCCTAGGTGTGTAGTTGAATTCGGTAGTTTTTACATTGTCTAAAGCAGGCTCAATGGATTCACACTCAATGAATCCACTAGCTTGTTTGTTGGATTCACCGACAGACAGAGTTGCACTGAGTAACCAACTCAGTGGGTCAATTTCTATTTTAGTCTCCCCCAGACCACTGTGTTGGGTGTGGTAAAAATATTCAGTTTCAAGAAAGTCGCAGTCCATTGTGGTGTATATACGATGGGTTTTGGGGTTATAGCAGCGGTAGCCTTTTTGGTTAATCCCATATCCTACAAAGACACATTTGACTGCGCAGGGATCAAATTTCAAACGTTCAGTCTTTGGAATATGAACAAAGATTGAGCATCCAAAAATTCGAGGTGATAGTGCCAAGGCTAGGGACACTTGGGTGTGTTCAGAGAGAGATTGTAGAGGGGTTTTTAGGTTAAGTATCTTAGTGGGTAAATGGTTAAGAAGGTGCACTGCAGTGGCTACAGCTTCAGGCCAAAAAGATTGAGGAACTTGAGATTCAAGCATTAAGGCTCGGGTGATTTCAAGAAGGATTCTGTTTTTTCGTTCGGCTACACCATTCTGTTGTGGGGTGTTCAGACAAGTGGTTTGGTGTAGTAACCCATTTTCCTGGAAGAAGGTTTGCATGGCAAGATTGATAAATTCCCCCCATTATCAGATCCGAGTATTCTAATTTGTTTTTGAAATTGGGTATGGATGAGATTGTAAAAATGCATAAATTTCTGTGGAACCTCAGATTTGTGGTCTAAAAAATATACCCATGTTATACGAGTACAATCATCAATAAATAACACATTGGGTATGATGAGATTGTAAAAATGCATAAATTTCTGTTGGGGAACCTCAGATTGTGGTTCTAAAAAACTATACCCATGTTATACGAGTGTTACAATCATCAATAAATAACACAAAATACTTAAAAACATTATTTCCAGAGGTTCAGAGCAGGATCCCATTACATTAATACTTAAAAACATTATTTCCAGAGTTCAGAGCAGGATCCCATACATCAGAGTGCACTAAATCAAATGCATGTTCAACCCTAGTGTTACTAGGAAAAAAAGGCTTCCTATGGTTTTTTGCCAAAACATAAGTATCATAAGGAGTATTATTATGAAACTGAGGAAAAAGGATTTTGAGATAACCATGTGACGGGGTCCCAATCGTCGGTGCCACAACCAACTCTGTCGACCAGTCATCCCATGAGCTAGTAGTGCGAACCCTTTCTAAGCCACTTCGTCGACATAGTACAAACCATCGTATTTAGTGCCATGCCCAATGATCTCCTGTGTCTGGATGTCCTATAAAAGGCAAAAATTCGGATGCATTAGAAGCGTACAATTTAGTTCTTTTGTCACTTGACTAACGGATAGCAATTTATAAGACAATGATGGGACATAGAGACATTTGGACAATTTCAGGGTTGGGGATAACTCTATGGACCCTACCCTTTTAACAGGTACAAAATCTCCACTGGCGGTCTAAATTTTGAATTTTTCTGGAGCTGATGGGATAATAATATCAGAGGGATCATAGGTCATGGTATCAGTTGCCACACAATCAAATAACTATGTAGTATTTTTTCCACTCATCGATTCTTAGGCTATATAGGCTGAGGGGTATTTATTTATTTTCGACCTACCCGAGTTTTTTCTCATACCCCAGGAATGATTTCTATTTTTTTTGGATTTTTTCTATTTTTTCTCAAAACCTCCGGGGTCAATCTGAATTTTTTTAAAGGAATCAGGACTTAATTGTATACAATCAGAACTTTTAGTACTTAATTCAGGTAGATCAAAATAATTAGGTGCAAAATAAATAGGATTAAGAATTAAAGCGTTTCGAGGTAATTTTCCCTTCCCAAACCCTATACCTGTCCCATCTCTTTCTCCTCTCCCATTTGCTTCAGTCGTCCCTCTTCCTATTCCAACGGCAGCAAATCCTTTATCTTCGCTGCTACTGTGAACGCTGGCGATCTCCTAGTTGCTCACCGCGGCGGCGGCTCGGCCATTTTTTCCGTGCCGCGATTTCTCATCTTCAGATTGTCCTTCCACCATTCAGGAAAACCAATAAGATGAAAGCATTCATCCTTGATGTGTCCGGTTAGGTTGTAATGAGAACACTTGAGGCTGCTCCGATCAAAACACTTGAGGCTGCTCCGATCAATTTTCCCTTGAAATAGTGAACTTGCTGCTCCATTTGCCAAGTCTGATCGGGGCTGTGATTCACTGTGCACCTGGGTTTTTTTTCTTTACCATCGACCTAGACCTCTCCCCCTGTCCTCTTGCGACTAACCCGTTACGAATGCCTGGAGTTTCACCAATATCCATGGCTGCCGATGGACTGAGTATGT